CCCCAGTGCCTTCGCCGCTTCCTCCCTTTCCTCCTTCAAGGCCGGTCTCAAGACCTTTCTCTTTGACCTTCAGCCTTCAGCTCCCCTCTCGACTCTCTACCCCCTCCTCGCTCCCTCCCTTCCCTCCCCTCACCCTGACCATTTTCCCCGCAAGGCTCTGGTCCTGACCCAACTGTACAGCGCCTTGGGACGTCCTCCCGACGTGAAAGGCGCTCTATAAATGGAATCTTGTTGTTGTTGTTGTTGTAAGTACGAGCCCCACCGACGTGAGCTGGGGACATCCCAGAAGGTGAGACCACAAGGTGCCCAACAGAGTTAAGAGAAGCTACGCTGGAACGATACCCGTGGAGTCCTGGAGCTCAGTGGTTAGAGCTCTCGCCTCGCAAGCGAGAGGACCCGGGTTCGATTCCTGGGCAGAGCGAAACCTTAGGCAAGTTTCCTGACTCCACACACACACGCACACGCACAAACGCACACACACACACACGCACACACACACACACGCGCACACACGCACACACACACGCACAAACGCACACACGCACAAACGCACACACACACGCGCACACACACACACGTGCACACACACGCGCACACACACACGCGCGCGCGCCTCTGTTTACCGGCATTAAGGAGGAACCCGGTTGTTAGTTGATTGTCCAATCGCTCTCTGGGGGTAATAATAATCCTTTAAGAAATATATATAAGAATTTGGTCACTCAATCCACGACTGTTTGGGACACTGCTGCGCCCAATTGGCTGCCGGGTTCCGCCCGGTATCACCGTGCGAAGCGCTTCGAGACGTCTGAACCTCGTGCCGAGACGAGGATCATTATGATTAATAACGTAGCCGTAGTAGTAGTAGTTGTTCAGCATTTGGTGGTAAGTCCCGACGTCTGTGTCCCTTTGAGTCTCACAGCTCTGCGGAGCGCCGCAGTACCTCCACCTGTCCACCAGGGGGGTGAGGTGGGCACCGCTGGAGGGCGACCGTCAGGTAAACAGCGCCGCCCTCTGGCGGTCAGCGGTCACTGCCCCACAGGTGGTCTCTCAATGCCACAAAGAACCTCATAAAATTTATCTGATTGAAAACTATGTGATTTTTCAATTAAAAAAAACGTGAAGTTCAGACCTCAGTTTACTGCTGTAGGTCCCGGCGCACTCTCAACCCCGAGTCAGGAGTTTGTGGGTTCAAGCCCCCACCCCCCCTTCCCCCCACCCCTCCCCAAGTTAGTTTGTAGATTCCTGTAGCTCAGCGGTTGGACCCCTCGCGAGCGAGAGGACCCGCGTTCGATTCCCGGGCGCGTCAGGGCAAAGCGTTGGGCAGGTTTCCTCACTCCTCACGCCTCTGTTTACCATCAGTTAGTAGGAACCCGGCTGTTGGTCAATTGGCGGATCACTTTTCCGGGGCTAATAATCCCTGAAAAATAATAATAACTTGTTCACTTTAACCCACCGCTGTTTGTGGGGGACGCCCCTGTGCGCAATTGGCTGCCGCGCTTCGCCCACAAAATATATAGTCGATTCACTTTACAGCGTATCCTGTGAAGCGCTTTGAGACGTCTCGAAGCCGTGATCAAATGCAAAGATTATTATTATTATTAGTAGTAGTAGTAGTATTATTATCGGAAGTTGACCACGAGGGACTTTGAGCTCCCAGTCCAGATTGACACTCCAGCGCAGCGCTGAGGGGAGAGTCGCAAGATCGGAGGTGCCGTCCTTCGGATAAGATGTTAAACTTTGCTGAAGCTTTCTCTGCCTATTCAGGTGGAAGATCCTACGACGCTACTTGATAAGAGAAAGGGGTTCCTCTCTCTCTCTCCCGGTGTCCCGGACAACAATACGGCAGATTCGAATTGCTCACTCCCTTCAAGGCCGTTTGCAAGGCATTGCTGTGCGCACATTGTACACCTACAAAGTCCACAGTCACTACTTTTTACAGTCAATATTGTGAAGTGCTTTGACCCTCCAAACCCAACTGAGAATTCTCTGTCTCCCACCAACACATGGAAACCCCAGAGATAGATTGTCGGGATGGAATGCACTCACTCTCTCTCTCTCTCTCTCTCTCTCTCTGGAGGGACCCCCCCCCCCCCCCCCCGCTCACCTAATTCCGGAGACTATTAGGCGCGGGTTGGGCGAGAGCCAAGGCTTGAGCCCAGAGTGTGTGTTGGGATACACGAGTGGGAGGATTCCCTGCCCCCCCCCCCCAGTGGCTGGACACACGGTCCTGATTGAAAGGCGCTGCATCAAAGCCTTATCGTTTTTGTCTAAAAAATTATTTGAATTATTTATTCTACATTCAGTGAAACAGGAAGTTGACAGTGTGTGGCATTGTGGCTTCCTGTTGGTCTTCGAGCTTTTCGGGGGTATGTGGGCAATCGATTTGTTGCTTTGCGGCGGTTGCTTCTGTCGAGAGTTTTGAGAGCGAGACTCAGGATTGCAATGTGGTGACTCAGTGTTTCTGTTAATCGGCTCAACTTCACTTCCTTTATTGTGAACACTTCAAAATTGTCTCAACTTTTTGTGCTCATCCTGACCTGAGAGATGATGGTGCAATACGGATTAGAGACTCAGTAAAGCTCCTCTACACTGTGCGTCCGTCCACACTCCCAGGTCAGGGTTACAGACACAGTAACGCTCCTCTACACTGTGTGTCCGTCCACACTCCCGGGTCAGGGTTTGAGACACAGTAACGCTCCTCTACACTGTGTGTCCACACTCCCGGGTCAGGGTTAGAGATACTGTGAAGCTCTCTACACTGTGTGTCCGTCCACACTCCCGGGTCAGGGTTAGAGACACAGTAAAGCTCCTCTACACTGTGTGTCCACACTCCCAGGTCAGGGTTAGAGACACAGTAAAGCTCCTCTACACTGTGCGTCCACACTCCCGGGTCAGGGTTAGAGACACAGTAAAGCTCCTCTACACTGTGTGTCCACACTCCCAGGTCAGGGTTAGAGACACAGTAAAGCTCCTCTACACTGTGTGTCCACACTCCCAGGTCAGGGTTAGAGACACAGTAAAGCTCCTCTACACTGTGCGTCCACACTCCCAGGTCAGGGTTAGAGACACAGTAAAGCTCCTCTACACTGTGTGTCCACACTCCCAGGTCAGGGTTAGAGACACAGTAACGCTCCTCTACACTGTGTGTCCACACTCCCAGGTCAGGGTTAGAGACACAGTAAAGCTCCTCTACACTGTGCGTCCACACTCCCAGGTCAGGGTTAGAGACACAGTAAAGCTCCTCTACACTGTGCATCTTCCACACTCCCAGGTCAGGGTTAGAGACACAGTAAAGCTCCTCTACACTGTGTGTCCACACTCCCAGGTCAGGGTTAGAGACACAGTAAAGCTCCTCTACACTGTGTGTCCACACTCCCAGGTCAGGGTTACAGACACAGTAACGCTCCCTCTACACTGTGCGTCCACACTCCCGGGTCAGGGTTAGAGACACAGTAAAGCTCCTCTACACTGTGTGTCCACACTCCCGGGTCAGGGTTTGAGATACAGTAAAGCTCCTCTACACTGTGTGTCCACACTCCCAGGTCAGGGTTAGAGACACAGTAAAGCTCTCCCTCTACACTGTGTGTCCACACTCCCAGGTCAGGGTTAGAGACACAGTAACACTCCCTCTACACTGTGCGCCCACACTCCCGGGTCAGGGTTACAGACACAGTAACGCTCCCAACATTGACAGAGGTGCCTTCTTAACCTTCGGATGAGACGTTAGACCGAGTTCCCGGTCAATGTTTGTTCAGGTCAAGACTGAGATATCACAACCCTCGTTAGAAAAGAGAAGGGAGTTCTCTCTCTCTCCCGGTGTCCGGGCCAACAATCCCCAACAATCCCCAACAATCCCCAACAATCCCCCAGGATAATTACTCGTTCACTTTGGGGCTGTGAGCGTGTGTGTGAGTATGTGAGTATTTGTGTGTGTATGTGTTGTGAATGTGTGTGTGTACGTGTGTGTGAGCGTATGTGCGTGCATGAGTGTTTGTGTGAGTGTGTGTGTGTGCGTTTGAGTTTGTGTGAGTATGACTGTATGTGTGAGTGAGTTTGTGTGTGTGTGAGTGTGAGTGTGTGAGTAAACGTGTGAGTGTGCGATTGTGTGTCTGAGTGTGAGTGTGCGTGTGAGTGTGCGTGTGAGTGCGTGTGAGTGTGCGTGTGAGTGTGCGTGTGTGTGCGTGTGAGAGTGTGCGTGTGAGTGTGCGTGTGAGTGTGTGTGAGAGTGTGCATGTGAGTGTGCGTGTGAGTGTGTGTGAGTGCGTGTGAGTGTGTGCGCGTGTGCGTGTGAGTGTGTGTGAGTGCGTGTGAGTGCGTGTGTGAGTGTGAGTGCGTGTGCGTGTGAGTGTGCGCGGCACTAATTCGCTTCGAAAAACAGTGGTGACGCTTGACATCGCCTCTTGAGGTCACGGGATGAAAGCCACGTCACTGTGATGAATATTATTTATTATCATTGATTGGTATAAAAAATGGCCGAATGCCCTCACGAATCCCGAGAGCGACTCAGTCTCCTGGACTCCCGATTCCTCCCCAAATCACACCAGCGTCCCAACACAGCGGCAGCCCTGGGCACACTCGGCAGGTCAGGCAGCATCTATGGAGAGAAGAGGGATGTTCTGACCGAAAAGTCAGCGACCTGCAACGTTAACCCCCTCTCCTCTCTCTCTCTCTCTCTCTCTCTCTCTCCGTAGATGCTGCCTGACCCTCCGAGCGTTCCCGGCGGCTCCCGTTGTTCATGGTATCCGGCACCTGCCGTACTTTGCCGTTCGATCTGGAGCAGGAACGGTTTTTTCTGGTTGAGGAGCGATCCACAGGTCCTTAAGTCTGAAGCTAAATACGACGACGACGACAACAACGACGACGACGGCAGTTCTCGAACCCACGGCGGCTTTCGCCTAAGGTAGCGCCTCGGAGCGCTGCGCAGCGATAGGGTCGGGCACCGAGCGGTGGAGTGGAGGGGTGGGTTGGGGGGGGGGGGGAAGGTGAGTTCATAACGGTAGCAACAGTTTGACTCTTAACGGTTCCTGTTTTCTTCTCGGGCCACGTTTTCGGGCGACTCCCTCACCTCCTCGTCAGACCCGACAACCTGCGGAGGCCGATGGCGGCCTTGGCGAGAACGCCCCTGTAGGCGTCCCGGAACTGCCTGTTCATCACGGCGTACAGGACGGGGTTGAGGCAGCTGTTGAACCACGTGAAGTTGGCGGCGATCATGTGGACCAGAGGGGGCGCCCGCTCCTTCCCGTCCGCGATGTTCAAGACGCAGAAGGGTAAATAACACGCCAGGAACACCAGGAACATGGCGAAACACATCCGGGTCACCTTCTTGAACTCCGCGTTGCTGCTGTGCTTCTTGTTGTGGTGGCTCGCGGTGACCTTGGTGGCGTCCTTTGACCCCGAAGCTTCCTGACCGGGGCCTCTCTCCTCGTCCGTTTTGACCTCCTTGGCGACCGCCATCTTCACCTCCTTGGTGACCTCCTCGGTGGTGATCTCCGACCCACCGATGCTGTGGGAGACCACGGACACCGCGGTGCTGTTGGTGGGGAACTGCTCGGACAGACCCGGCTTGCGCTTGGAGTCGACCCGGAGCCTGTGGACCGCCAGAGCCTCGGCGGCCGCTTTGACCTTCCTATGGATGAGGAAGTAGAAGACCCCGATGGAGCTGAGCCCCAGTCCGAACAGCACGAACATGAGGATGGTGGTGTAGGGCCTCCCTTTGGTCCGGTTGAAGCTGCACGTGCAAACGTTCTCCACCAGTTGATAGGCGTACCAGAGGGGCCCGAAGAGAGCGAAGCCCAGGAGCCAGGGGCCGGCCAGGAAAGCCGGCAGGGTGTACCTGGAGAAGACACGGTCGAAGCTTCGGGGCTTGGCGATCAGCAGGTACCTGCTCGCGGCGATGAGGATCAGGTTGAAGATGGAGACGGAGTTGGAGACAAACAGCAAGAGGCCAAAGACGCGACACATGGTGATGCCTTGGGTCCAGGCCAGATGGAGGTAGGAGTCCACAGTGACGGGCTGCAGGAAGGTGCAGTACAGCAGGTCGGACAAGGTCAGGTTGAGGATCAGGAGGTTGAACTTGGAACGGATTTTCTTGTCGGTGGCAAAGGCCAGTATGGTCATCACATTGCCCAGGGTGCCCACCACGGTGAGAAGGACGCCCATCGCTGCCCCGAAATAGCGGTAGCCAGCCAACGAGGGGTGGCAGGTCAGGTTGAAGGGCGCCTCCGTCGAGTTCATCGCTGGACTGGGAAGGATGGAGGGAGCGAGAGAGAGAGAGAGAGAGACACAGAGAAAGGGAGAGACTCTACCAACCGGGTGTCTTGTCAGCTCACAGCAAAGTCCTTCTACCTCATTGGTAACGTAGTCCTCATATATATACACACATTCCTCACTGCTCTGAGTCAGTTTGAGGCTATTGGGATATCTGCTCTCCTGTGTCATAATGTTTTCACAACTGTGGATTTTTTTGGGGAAGTACCACATCAGATTTGCCCCTCCCCTCCCCTCACATGTGCACACACCCCCCATCCATCCCCCCCCCCCCCACACACACCTCCATCCCACACCCCCCCCCCCCACACACACACACACCTCCATCCCACACACCCCCACACACACACACACCCCCATCCATCCCCCTCCCACATACACACCTCCATCCCCCACCCCCCCACACACACACACACCTCCATCCATCCCCCCCCCACACACACCTCCATCCCCCCCACATACACACACACACCTCCATCCCACACCCCCCCCCCACACACACCTCCATCCCACACCCCCCCCCACACACACACACCTCCATCCATCCCCCCCCCCTACACACACCTCCATCCCACACCCCCCCCCCCACACACACACACACACTCGCATCCATCCCCCTTCCACATACACACCTCCATCCCACACACCCCCACACACACACACACCTCCATCCATCCCCCCCCCACACACACCTCCATCCCCCCCTCCCCCCATACACACACAGTCACTGACACACAACAACAACAACAGCAAAATGACATGTGTAAAGTGCCGTTCACGTCGGGAGGATGTCCCAAGTCGCTGGACAGGCAGTGTTACGGACCTGAGTTGGGGGTCGGGGTCAGGGAGGGTGGAGGGCAGGGGGTGAAGCAGACCGGAGCCCACTGAGCGGAGGAAGCGGGCACGATGGCGGGGGGGGGGAGCAAGACCAGGGAGGGCTTTGAAAGTGAGGGTACACACACAGTAACACACACACAATCACTCACACACACACACTCACACACCCGCACAGACACAAACACACACACAGACACACACTCACACACTGTCACACACACACGCACAGACACACACAGACACACACTCACATGTACAGACACACACTCACATGTACAGACACACACTCACATGCACAGACACACACTCACACGCACACACTCACACACATGCACAGACACACACACACACACATTCAAATTTGTGAATCCAGTTGTAATTCAGGAACCAAAATCAAATTGGATTCAAGAACTGTCCACAATTCCTCTCTACAGTCGGTGTCCATCTCTCTCTCTATCTCTCCATCTCTCTGTTTACGGGATGGAGAGGTGTCACTAACCCGACAGGATATGGTGACAGAGAATGGCTGAAAACAGAAATAAACACTTCCTTTTCCTCTGAATGCTGACGTAACCATTCCCGCAAAGCTCTGACAGGGGACCTTACAGCACCCCCACCATTCCCCCCCCTCTCCCCCCCCCCCCGGCCTCCCCCCCCACCCCCAAACAGGGTAGTGTCCTTACTCTGCACAGACACACACAGACACACAAAGAAATAGACACACAGACAGACACGCGCACACACTCACACACATACAGACACAGACAGACACACACACAGACACAGATAGACACACACACACAGACACACACACAGACACAGATAGACACACACACACAGACACACACACAGACACAGATAGACACACACCCACAGACACACACACAGGCACACACACAGACACACAGACAGTCACACACAGACACACAGACACAGATAGACACACACACAGACACACACACACACACACAGACACACACATAGACAGACACACACAAAGACAGACACACACAGACACACACAGAAATAGACACACAGACAGACACGCACACACACTCACACACATACAGACACAGACAGACAGACACACAGACACAGATAGACACACACCCACAGACACACACACAGACACAGATAGACACACACCCACAGACACACACACACACACAGACACACGCGCATACACACACAGACACACACACACAGACACACGCACAGACACACACACACAGACACACACACAGACACACACACACAGACACACACACAGACAGACACACACAGAGACACGCACACACACACAGACACACGCACAGACACACACGCGCACAGACACACACACACAGACACACACACACACAGACACACGCACACACACAGACACACGCACAGACACACACACAGACACACGCACAGACACACAGACACACACACACAGACACACACACACGCACAGACACACACACACACAGGCACACACACAGACACGCGCACAGACACACACGCGCGCGCCTCTGCTCACCAACCAAAAAGTCGGAACGATTGGATTATGAATCAAATTGCGCACTTTATTGGAAGAACAGAAGTAATAAAGTAATGAGTAATAATGAGTAATAAAAGCAGAAGTGTCTGGGAATGCTCAGCGGGTCAGGCAGCATCTATGAAGAGAGGAAAGTGAGTTCACGTTTCAGGTGGAGACCTCTCGTCTGACACTTCCTTGACTGTTCCGAGAGATTTTTTATTTTATTTCAGATTTCCGGACAACTGCAGCGTTTTACCTTCAGAAGTGTAATGATTGTCTGAGCACAAATTTAACGTGTGCTACAGCGGATAGTACCCCCGGGTCTGTATTAGCTATAATAATAATAATAATAATAATAATAATAATAATCCTCGCATTTCATGCAGTAACTTATCGCGTGATTGAGACGTCTCAAAGCGCTTCACAGGATACGCTGCAAACTGTAGTGACCGTGTTTTGTGGGAGAAACTCGGCAGCCGGTTGCGCACGGCAGCGTCCCCCCCACAAACAGCCGCGGATTGAAGTGACCAAATGATTATCATTATTATGATTTTATATTAATATGGAAGGGATTATTACCCCCAGAAAAGTGACCCCCAGTCTGTGTGCTACGCTTTCCCGCTGCCAGGTCCCCTCGGAGTCAGGTCAGCTGCAGAGTGAACCCACTTATATTTACCCCCTCAACCCCAACACCACCCCCCCCCCACCCCCCTACACAACCCCCCCATACACATGTATGTGAATATATACACATCCTCTACAGGGAAGGAAGAAGGCAATTCAAGAGACCAGAGGCTCCCGAGATTCCGCCGGGTCTTATGGGGTAGTACCTTCTCTAACGACTCAACAACAACAACTTGCATTTATATCGCGCCCATAGTGGGGGGAGGGGGGGGAAGGGGGGGAGGGGGCCAGGGGGTTGGGGAATGGGGGGGTAGGGGAGAGTGGGGGGGAGGAAAGGAGCGTTCAAAGAGGTAGCAATAGTTTTACAAGTCTAAGAGGAGATGCAATTTCAGACGTTAGTTACAGTGTGTTTTGGGGGGTGACCCCCACACTCCCCCCTCCCCCTAATCCCTCCTCAGGCCCAACAATCTCCGGAACCCGTTGGCGGCTTTGGTGAGGACCCCCTTGTAGGCCTCCCTGAACTGCCTGTTCATCACCACGTACAGGATGGGGTTGATGCAGCTGTTCAACCAAGTGAAGTTACCAGCGATCATGTGGGCCAAGATGGGGGCTCTCTCCCTGCGGTCGGCGATGTGCATCAGGCAGAAGGGGAGGTAGCAGGTCACATAGACCACAAACATGGCAAAGCACATCCTGGTGACTCGTTTGAACTCATTGTTGTGGTTCTTCCTGCTCTGGTAAGCGTTGATCTTGTCCGAGACTTTGGACTCCGGAGCCTGAGGTCCGTAGCCGGTCTCGTCGTCTGTGTTGAACTTCTGAGTGTTCTGCGACTCGTTGGCGCTTTGGGAGACAGCTGAGTCCACCCCACTGTCGGTCTGAGAGAGCTCAGCCATCACCGTCACAATCTGCGATTTCTTTCGCTTGTTCTTGTTGGGTTGAGTCCGGCTCTTGATTCTGTATTCCTCCAAGGCCTTGGAGGCAGCCTTGACCTTCCTGTTGATCAGGAAGTAGAAGATCCCAATGGAGCTCACCCCGAGACCAAACATAAAGATCAGGAGGATGAAGGTATAGGGTCTCCCCCTGCTCCGGTGGCAGCTACAGGTGCAGACCGGGGGCAGGAAGACAAAGATGTTCCAAAGAGGCCCAAACAGGGAGAAGCCCAGAGCCCATGGCCCCAACATGAAGAGGGGCATGGTGTACCTGGAGTAGACCCGGTCAAAGCGCTTGGGGTCGGAGATGAGGATGTATCTGCTAATGGCGATGAGGACCAGGTTGAAGATGGAGACGGAGTGTGCCACGAAGAGGAAGAGCCCAAAGACTCTGCACATGAGGTCCCCCTGCCTCCAGGTGAAGTGGATGAAGGTGTCCACGATGACGGGTTGGAGGAAGGTGCAGTAGCACAGGTCGGCCAGGGTCAGGTTGAGGATCAGGAGGTTGAACCTGGTCCTTATCTTCTTGTCCGTGGCGAAGGCCAAGAGGGTCATGATGTTGCCCACGGTGCCTACGGCCGTCACCAAGATGCCCAGCAGGGCCCCAAAGTAGCGGTACTCGATAACCGCGGGGTGGCAGGTCAGCTTACTGTAGGACTTGTTCAGCTCCATCCTGGGGGTTGACTTCAGGTCCAAACCCTGGCTCGGTAGAGTGAGCGAGAGAGAGAGCGAGTGTGTGGGCGAGTCAGTCAGTCAGGGCCTCTTGGGCTCGTTGCTGGGATCACGAGGAGATCGATGGCTTTAACCAACGAGACACTAACGCAGCTCACAAGGCAAGAGACAAGGCGAGAAGACAAGTGACCTCTGGCTGAGCCTCGCTGGTTCTCCCTCACACCCCCTCCCACTCTCACCCCTTCCTCTCCTTTAAATACCACAATAGTTGACTGAGTCGAAAGATTCCACCCACTTCCTACTCTGCGTGTTCCGATCACAGAAACTCGGCAGCCAGTTATAATAATATAATAATAATAATAATAATAATAATAATAATAATAATAATAATAATAATAATAAATAATAATAATAATAATAATAATAATAATAATAATAATCCTTGCATTTGATATAGCGCTTTTCACGTCGGGAGGACGTCCCAAAGCGCTTCACAGAACACACTGTAAAGTGAATTGACTGTATATTTGTGGGCGAACGCGGCAGCCAATTGCGCACAGCAATGTCCCACAAACAGTCGTAGATTGAAAATGACCAATTTATTATTGTTTTTGGTTTTGGAGGGATTATTATTAGGCTCTGTGTGGAGTAAGGAAACTTGCCCGAGGTTTCGCCCTCTGCCTGGAATTGAACTCAGGTCTCTCACTTGCAAAGCGAGTGCTCTAACCACTGAGCCTCAGGACCCCACAGTTGCGCACAGCAGTGTCCCCCCACAAACAGCCGCGGATTGAAGTGACCAAATGATTATTATTATTATGATTTTATATTAATATGGAAGGGATTATTACCCCCAGAAAAGTGACCCCCAGTCTGTGTGCTACGCTTTCCCGCTGCCAGGTCCCCTCGGAGTCAGGTCAGCTGCAGAGTGAACCCACTTATATTTACCCCCTCAACCCCAACCACACCCCCCACCCCTACACACCCCTCCCACTCCCCCCCTACACCCCCCCCCCCCCCCCACACCCCCAGAAAATAATCTTGAAGCAGTCATTGTAATACCAGTTGTTTATTAGGGCTTTGCTTACAATTCACCTGAAATCTGAAACAGAGGCAAAGTTTATCTGAGACTTTCACACAGCGCAATGGATGTCAGTCGGCATTGGCGGGTGGGGGGGGGGGGGGCGTGACGGGGGTGACGGGGGGTTGGGGTTGGGGGGCTGAGGGTGGGGAGTGGGGGGAATATATACACATCCTCTACGGGAAGGAAGAAGGCAATTCAAGAGACCAGAGGCTCCTGAGATTCCGCCGGGTCTTATGGGGTAGTACCTTCTCTAACGACTCAACAACAACAACTTGCATTTATATCGCGCCCATAGTGGGGGGAGGGGGGGGGGAGGGGGGGAGGGGGCCAGGGGGGTGGGGAATGGGGGGGTAGGGGAGAGTGGGGGGGAGGAAAGGAGCGTTCAAAGAGGTAGCAATAGTTTTACAAGTCTAAGAGGAGATGGAATTTCAGACGTTAGTTACAGTGTGTTTTGGGGGGTGACCCCCACACTCCCCCCTCCCCCTAATCCCTCCTCAGGCCCAACAATCTCCGGAACCCGTTGGCGGCTTTGGTGAGGACCCCCTTGTAGGCCTCCCTGAACTGCCTGTTCATCACCACGTACAGGATGGGGTTGATGCAGCTGTTCAACCAAGTGAAGTTACCAGCGATCATGTGGGCCAAGATGGGGGCTCTCTCCCTGCGGTCGGCGATGTGCATCAGGCAGAAGGGGAGGTAGCAGGTCACATAGACCACAAACATGGCAAAGCACATCCTGGTGACTCGTTTGAACTCATTGTTGTGGTTCTTCCTGCTCTGGTAAGCGTTGACCTTGTCCGAGCCTTTGGACTCCGGAGCCTGAGGTCCGTAGCCGGTCTCGTCATCTGTGTTGAACTCCTGAGTGTTCTGCGACTCGCTGGCGCTTTGGGAGACAGCTGAGTCCACCCCACTGTCGGTCTGAGAGAGCTCAGCCATCACCGTCACAATCTGCGATTTCCTTCGCTTGTTCTTGTTGGGTTGAGTCTGGCTCTTGATTCTGTATTCCTCCAAGGCCTTGGAGGCAGCCTTGACCTTCCTGTTGATCAGGAAGTAGAAGATCCCAATGGAGCTCAGCCCGAGACCGAACATGAGGAACATGAGGATGGAGGTATAGGGTCTCCCCCTGCTCCGGTGGAAGCTACAGGTGCAGACCGGGGGCAGGAAGACATAGATGTTCCAAAGAGGCCCAAACAGGGAGAAGCCCAGAGCCCATGGCCCCAACATGAAGAGGGGCATGGTGTATCTGGAGTAGACCCGGTCAAAGCGCTTGGGGTCGGAGATGAGGATGTATCTGCTCATGGCGATGAGGACCAGGTTGAAGATGGAGACGGAGTTTGCCACGAAGAGGAAGAGCCCAAAGACCCTGCACATGAGGTCCCCCTGCCTCCAGGTGAAGTGGATGAAGGTGTCCACGGTGACGGGTTGGAGGAAGGTGCAGTAGCACAGGTCGGCCAGGGTCAGGTTGAGGATCAGGAGGTTGAACCTGGTCCTTATCTTCTTGTCCGTGGCGAAGGCCAAGAGGGTCATGATGTTGCCCACGGTGCCCACGGCCGTCACCAAGATGCCCAGCAGGGCCCCAAAGTAGCGGTACTCGATAACCGCGGGGTGGCAGGTCAGGTTACTGTAGGACTCGTTCAGCTCCATCCTGGGGGTTGACTTCAGGTCCAAACCCTGGCTCGGTAGAGTGAGCGAGAGAGAGAGCGAGTGTGTGGGCGAGTCAGTCAGTCAGGGCCTCTTGGGCTCGTTGCTGGGATCACGAGGAGATCGATGGCTTTAACCAACGAGACACTAACGCAGCTCACAAGGCAAGAGACAAGGCGAGAAGACAAGTGACCTCTGGCTGAGCCTCGCTGGTTCTCCCTCACACCCCCTCCCACTCTCACCCCTTCCTCTCCTTTAAATACCACAATAATTGACTGAGTCGAAAGATACACCCACTTCCTACTCTGCGTGTTCCGATCACAGAAACTCGGCAGCCAGTTATAATAATAATAATAATAATAATAATAATAATAATAATAATAATAATAATAATCCTTGCATTTGATATAGCGCTTTTCACGTCGGGAGGACGTCCCAAAGCGCTTCACAGAACACACTGTAAAGTGAATTGACTGTATATTTGTGGGCGAACGCGGCAGCCAATTGCGCACAGCAATGTCCCACAAACAGTCGTAGATTGAAAATGACCAATTTATTATTGTTTTGGTTTTGGAGGGATTATTATTAGGCTCTGTGTGGAGTAAGGAAACTTGCCCGAGGTTTGGCCCTCTGCCTGGAATTGAACTCAGGTCTCTCACTTGCAAAGCGAGTGCTCTAACCACTGAGCCTCAGGACCCCACAGTTGCGCACAGCAGTGTCCCCCCACAAACAGCCGCGGATTGAAGTGACCAAATGATTATTATTATTATGATTTTATATTAATATGGAAGGGATTATTACCCCCAGAAAAGTGACCCCCAGTCTGTGTGCTACGCTTTCCCGCTGCCAGGTCCCCTCGGAGTCAGGTCAGCTGCAGAGTGAACCCACTTATATTTACCCCCTCAACCCCAACCACACCCCCCACCCCTACACACCCCTCCCACTCCCCCCCTACACCCCCCCCCCCCACACCCCCAGAAAATAATCTTGAAGCAGTCATTGTAATACCAGTTGTTTATTAGGGCTTTGCTTACAATTCACCTGAAATCTGAAACAGAGGCAAAGTTTATCTGAGACTTTCACACAGCGCAATGGATGTCAGTCGGCATTGGCGGGTGGGGGGGGGGGGGGCGGTGACGGGGGTGACGGGGGGTGGGTTGGGGGGGCTGAGGGTGGGGAGTGGGGGGAATATATACACATCCTCTACAGGGAAGGAAGAAGGCAATTCAAGAGACCAGAGGCTCCTGAGATTCCGCCGGGTCTTATGGGGTAGTACCTTCTCTAACGACTCAACAACAACAACTTGCATTTATATCGCGCCCATAGTGGGGGGAGGGGGGGGGGGAGGGGGGGAGGGGGCCAGGGGGGTGGGGAATGGGGGGTAGGGGAGAGTGGGGGGGAGGAAAGGAGCGTTCAAAGAGGTAGCAATAGTTTTACAAGTCTAAGAGGAGATGGAATTTCAGACGTTAGTTACAGTGTGTTTTGGGGGGTGACCCCCACACTCCCCCTCCCCCTAATCCCTCCTCAGGCCCAACAATCTCCGGAACCCGTTGGCGGCTTTGGTGAGGACCCCCTTGTAGGCCTCCCTGAACTGCCTGTTCATCACCACGTACAGGATGGGGTTGATGCAGCTGTTCAACCAAGTGAAGTTACCAGCGATCATGTGGGCCAAGATGGGGGCTCTCTCCCTGCGGTCGGCGATGTGCATCAGGCAGAAGGGGAGGTAGCAGGTCACATAGACCACAAACATGGCAAAGCACATCCTGGTGACTCGTTTGAACTCATTGTTGTGGTTCTTCCTGCTCTGGTAAGCGTTGACCTTGTCCGAGCCTTTGGACTCCGGAGCCTGAGGTCCGTAGCCGGTCTCGTCATCTGTGTTGAACTCCTGAGTGTTCTGCGACTCGCTGGCGCTTTGGGAGACAGCTGAGTCCACCCCACTGTCGGTCTGAGAGAGCTCAGCCATCACCGTCACAATCTGCGATTTCCTTCGCTTGTTCTTGTTGGGTTGAGTCTGGCTCTTGATTCTGTATTCCTCCAAGGCCTTGGAGGCAGCCTTGACCTTCCTGTTGATCAGGAAGTAGAAGATCCCAATGGAGCTCAGCCCGAGACCGAACATGAGGAACATGAGGATGGAGGTATAGGGTCTCCCCCTGCTCCGGTGGAAGCTACAGGTGCAGACCGGGGGCAGGAAGACATAGATGTTCCAAAGAGGCCCAAACAGGGAGAAGCCCAGAGCCCATGGCCCCAACATGAAGAGGGGCATGGTGTATCTGGAGTAGACCCGGTCAAAGCGCTTGGGGTCGGAGATGAGGATGTATCTGCTCATGGCGATGAGGACCAGGTTGAAGATGGAGACGGAGTTTGCCACGAAGAGGAAGAGCCCAAAGACCCTGCACATGAGGTCCCCCTGCCTCCAGGTGAAGTGGATGAAGGTGTCCACGGTGACGGGTTGGAGGAAGGTGCAGTAGCACAGGTCGGCCAGGGTCAGGTTGAGGATCAGGAGGTTGAACCTGGTCCTTATCTTCTTGTCCGTGGCGAAGGCCAAGAGGGTCATGATGTTGCCCACGGTGCCCACGGCCGTCACCAAGATGCCCAGCAGGGCCCCAAAGTAGCGGTACTCGATAACCGCGGGGTGGCAGGTCAGGTTACTGTACGTCCCGTTCAGCTCCATCCTGGGGGTTGACTTCAGGTCCAAACCCTGGCTCAGTAGAGTGAGCGAGAGAGAGAGCGAGTGTGTGGGCGAGTCAGTCAGTCAGGGCCTCTTGGGCTCGTTGCTGGGATCACGAGGAGATCGATGGCTTTAACCAACGAGACACTAACGCAGCTCACAAGGCAAGAGACAAGGCGAGAAGACAAGTGACCTCTGGCTGAGCCTCGCTGGTTCTCCCTCACACCCCCTCCCACTCTCACCCCTTCCTCTCCTTTAAATACCACAATAGTTGACTGAGTCGAAAGATTCCACCCACTTCCTACTCTGCGTGTTCCGATCGCAGAAACTCGGCAGCCAGTTATAATAATAATAATAATAATAATAATAATAATCCTTGCATTTGATATAGCGCTTTTCACGTCGGGAGGACGTCCCAAAGCGCTTCACAGAACACACTGTAAAGTGAATTGACTGTATATTTGTGGGCGAACGCGGCAGCCAATTGCGCACAGCAATGTCCCACAAACAGTCGTGGATTGAAAATGACCAATTTATTATTGTTTTTGGTTTTGGAGGATTATTATTAGGCTCTGTGTGGAGTAAGGAAACTTGCCCAAGGTTTGGCCCTCTGCCTGGAATTGAACTCAGGTCTCTCACTTGCAAAGGGAGTGCTCTAACCACTGAGCCTCAGGACCCCACAGTTGCGCACAGCAGTGTCCCCCCACAAACAGCCGCGGATTGAAGTGACCAAATGATTATTATTATTATGATTTTATATTAATATGGAAGGGATTATTACCCCCAGAAAAGTGACCCCCAGTCTGTGTGCTACGCTTTCCCGCTGCCAGGTCCCCTCGGAGTCAGGTCAGCTGCAGAGTGAACCCACTTATATTTACCCCCTCAACCCCAACCACACCCCCACCCCTACACACCCCTCCCACTCCCCCCCTACACCCCCCCCCCCACACCCCCAGAAAATAATCTTGAAGCAGTCATTGTAATACCAGTTGTTTATTAGGGCTTTGCTTACAATTCACCTGAAATCTGAAACAGAGGCAAAGTTTATCTGAGACTTTCACACAGCGCAATGGATGTCAGTCGGCATTGGCGGGTGGGGGGGGGCGGTGACGGCGGTGACGGGGGTGACGGAGGGGTGGGGTTGGGGGGGCTGAGGGTGGGGAGTGGGGGGAATATATACACATCCTCTACAGGGAAGGAAGAAGGCAATTCAAGAGACCAGAGGCTCCTGAGATTCCGCCGGGTCTTATGGGGTAGTACCTTCTCTAACGACTCAACAACAACAACTTGCATTTATATCGCGCCCATAGTGGGGGGAGGGGGGGGAGGGGGGGAGGGGGCCAGGGGGGTGGGGAATGGGGGGGTAGGGGAGAGTGGGGGGGAGGAAAGGAGCGTTCAAAGAGGTAGCAATAGTTTTACAAGTCTAAGAGGAGATGCAATTTCAGACGTTAGTTACAGTGTGTTTTGGGGGGTGACCCCCACACTCCCCCCTCCCCCTAATCCCTCCTCAGGCCCAACAATCTCCGGAACCCGTTGGCGGCTTTGGTGAGGACCCCCTTGTAGGCCTCCCTGAACTGCCTGTTCATCACCACGTACAGGATGGGGTTGATGCAGCTGTTCAACCAAGTGAAGTTACCAGCGATCATGTGGGCCAAGATGGGGGCTCTCTCCCTGCGGTCGGCGATGTGCATCAGGCAGAAGGGGAGGTAGCAGGTCACATAGACCACAAACATGGCAAAGCACATCCTGGTGACTCGTTTGAACTCATTGTTGTGGTTCTTCCTGCTCTGGTAAGCGTTGACCTTGTCCGAGCCTTTGGACTCTGGAGCCTGAGGTCCGTAGCCGGTCTCGTCATCTGTGTTGAACTCCTGAGTGTTCTGCGACTCGCTGGCGCTTTGGGAGACAGCTGAGTCCACCCCACTGTCGGTCTGAGAGAGCTCAGCCATCACCGTCACAATCTGCGATTTCCTTCGCTTGTTCTTGTTGGGTTGAGTCTGGCTCTTGATTCTGTATTCCTCCAAGGCCTTGGAGGCAGCCTTGACCTTCCTGTTGATCAGGAAGTAGAAGATCCCAATGGAGCTCAGCCCGAGACCGAACATGAGGAACATGAGGATGGAGGTATAGGGTCTCCCCCTGCTCCGGTGGAAGCTACAGGTGCAGACCGGGGGCAGGAAGACATAGATGTTCCAAAGAGGCCCAAACAGGGAGAAGCCCAGAGCCCATGGCCCCAACATGAAGAGGGGCATGGTGTACCTGGAGTAGACCCGGTCAAAGCGCTTGGGGTCGGAGATGAGGATGTATCTGCTCATGGCGATGAGGACCAGGTTGAAGATGGAGACGGAGTTTGCCACGAAGAGGAAGAGCCCAAAGACCCTGCACATGAGGTCCCCCTGCCTCCAGGTGAAGTGGATGAAGGTGTCCACGGTGACGGGTTGGAGGAAGGTGCAGTAGCACAGGTCGGCCAGGGTCAGGTTGAGGATCAGGAGGTTGAACCTGGTCCTTATCTTCTTGTCCGTGGCGAAGGCCAAGAGGGTCATGATGTTGCCCACGGTGCCCACGGCCGTCACCAAGATGCCCAGCAGGGCCCCAAAGTAGCGGTACTCGATAACCGCGGGGTGGCAGGTCAGGTTACTGTACGACTCGTTCAGCTCCATTCTGGGGGTTGACTTCAGGTCCAAACCCTGACTCAGAAGAGTGAGCGAGAGAGAGAGCGAGTGTGTGGGCGAGTCAGTCAGTCAGGGCCTCTTGGGCTCGTTGCTGGGATCACGAGGAGATCGATGGCTTTAACCAACGAGACACTAACGCAGCTCACAAGGCAAGAGACAAGGCGAGAAGACAAGTGACTTCTGGCTGAGCCTCGCTGGTTCTCCCTCACACCCCTCCCACTCTCACCCTTCCTCTCCTTTAAATACCACAATATTGACTGAGTCGAAAGATTCCACCCACTTCCTACTCTGCGTGTTCCGATCGCAGAAACTCGGCAGCCAGTTATAATAATAATAATAATAATAATAATCCTTGCATTTGATATAGCGCTTTTCACGTCGGGAGGACGTCCCAAAGCGCTTCACAGAACACACTGTAAAGTGAATTGACTGTATATTTGTGGGCGAACGCGGCAGCCAATTGCGCACAGCAATGTCCCACAAACAGTCGTAGATTGAAAATGACCAATTTATTATTGTTTTGAGTTTGGAGGATTATTATTAGGCTCTGTGTGGAGTAAGGAAACTTGCCCAAGGTTTGGCCCTCTGCCTGGAATTGAACTCAGGTCTCTCACTTGCAAAGGGAGTGCTCTAACCACTGAGCCTCAGGACCCCACAGTTGCGCACAGCAGTGTCCCCCCACAAACAGCCGCGGATTGAAGTGACCAAATGATTATTATTATTATGATTTTATATTAATATGGAAGGGATTATTACCCCCAGAAAAGTGACCCCCAGTCTGTGTGCTACGCTTTCCCGCTGCCAGGTCCCCTCGGAGTCAGGTCAGCTGCAGAGTGAACCCACTTATATTTACCCCCTCAACCCCAACCACACCCCCCACCCCTACACACCCCTCCCACTCCCCCCCTACACCCCCCCCCCCACACCCCAGAAAATAATCTTGAAGCAGTCATTGTAATACCAGTTGTTTATTAGGGCTTTGCTTACAATTCACCTGAAATCTGAAACAGAGGCAAGTTTATCTGAGACTTTTCACACAGCGGCAATGGATGTCAGTCGGCATTGGCGGGTGGGGGGGGGGCGGTGACGGGGTGACGGGGGGACGGGGGTGGGGTTGGGGGGGCTGAGGGTGGGGAGTGGGGGGAATATATACACATCCTCTACAGGGAAGGAAGAAGGCAATTCAAGAGACAGAGGCTCCTGAGATTCCGCCGGGTCTTATGGGGTAGTACCTTCTCTAACGACTCAACAACAACAACTTGCATTTATATCGCGCCCATAGTGGGGGGAGGGGGGGGAGAGGGGGGGGGGGCCAGGGGGGGTGGGGATGGGGGGGTAGGGAGAGTGGGGGGAGGAAAGGAGCGTTCAAAGAGGTAGCCAATAGTTTTACAAGTCTAAGAGGAGATGCAATTTCAGACGTTAGTTACAGTGTGTTTTGGGGGTGACCCCCACACTCCCCCCTCCCCCCTAATCCCTCCTCAGGCCCAACAATCTCCGGAACCCGTTGGCGGCTTTGGTGAGGACCCCCTTGTAGGCCTCCCTGAACTGCCTGTTCATCACCACGTACAGGATGGGGTTGATGCAGCTGTTCAACCAAGTGAAGTTACCAGCGATCATGTGGGCCAGTGCGCGTGTGTGTAAGTCGGAATGCGTTTAAGAAGATCGGTGTAAAATAAAAGTCTCCACCTTTCAATTGGGAATAATATCCGGGGACACAGTATATAGTTTGGGGACACGACACGACACGACGTGATGGTCGGGAGAGGGAGACCTCGGGCTGTGTCGCCAGAAAATTCTTATGGTTCCATTCAAAGCGCAAATAGAGCAGATTTGGCTCAGACACACACACACACACACACACACACACACAGACACACACACACACACACACAGAGACACACAGACAGACACACACACACACAGACACACACACAGCACACACACACACACACACAGACACACAGACACAGACACACAGACACACACACAGACACACACACACACACAGAGACACACAGAGACACACACACACACAGACACACACACAGACACACACACACACACAGACACACACACACAGACACACACACACAGACACACAGACACACACACAGACACACACACACACAGACACACACACACACAGACACACACACACACAGACACACACACACAGACACACACACACAGACACAGACAGACACACAGACAGACACACAGACACACACACACACAGACACACAGACACACACACACACAGACACAGACAGACAGACACACACACACACAGACACACACACACAGACAGACACAGACAGACACACAGACACAGACAGACACACAGACACACACACACACACACAGACACACACACACACACAGACACAGACAGACAGACACACACACACACACAGACACACACACACACACACAGACAGACACACACACACAGACAGACAGACACAGACACAGAGAGCTTGTAAGCACCTTATTAAACAGAGGAAAGGGACTCGATAATTATTAAACGGGTCGTTAACGCCAACTTAAAGAGGCTGTAAAGTCAGTGAAAGTTGTTTTTTTTTAACCCGAGAGACACCGCGCCCTGTGGGTGGGAGAGGGGGTGGTGGGGTGGGGTGGGGTGGGGTGGGGGGGGTGGGGTCGGGGAGGAGGGGGCGCTGGTGAAATCAGGACACGTTCAGTGACACCGGAACCTGGTGATGCTCAGATCAAACCCCTTTTCGCCTGTGAATAAAATCCGAGTGCGACTTCTCTTCCCCCCATCACAGCTTTGTACACAGCGGTCCCGCTGTTGGCTAATTTCTGGGAGGGGACGTCTGTTTTCCTCTGCGACTCTTCGCCCCTGACCCAGATCTCCGGCTTTAAACCCCAACGCCACCGCTCTCTTTCGTCTCTCTGCCCTCCACAGCCCCCACCGAGTCGCACCCACCGCCCAATATCCACTTAGCGCCGCTTCAAATGCAAAAAACACGCAGTCACTACACTTTACCGCGTGTTCTGCGAAGCGCTTTGAGACGTCTCGACGACGTGATAAGGCGCTGTATCAAATGCGAGGATTATTATCGCTTATTATTATTATTATTATTATTATAAATACGCATCTCGTTTATCCGGAGGGCGGTGAGAATAACTGACATTCTCAACCCCACAAACTCAAACCCAGAGTTCATTCCTTCTCCTGACACCAAACACAGGAACTTTCTGCTGTTCATAACTTACATAAATAGCTCTGATACTTTTTTTTAACTTTTATTTAAATAAAAAAAATCTAAAAATCCCTTTACCTCTCCCCCCCCCACTCTCTCCCTCCCTCTCCCTCTCTCCCTCTCTCTCTCTCCACTTATACTACACTGATGGTGTATCCCTCATCTAAGGTCCAAATTGGAATTAATTAAACTCAACCCACGGCTGTTTGCGGGGACGCTGCTGTGCGCAATTGGCTGCCGTGTTTCGCCCACAAAACACACAGTCACTTCACTTTACAATCCCCGACTGTCCGGAGCCTTGCGATCTCCTCCCGACGTGAAAGGCGCTCACTGAACAAATGTAATAACGTATTGTGTTGTAGAGTGTGTCCCATGAAGCGCTTTGAGGCGTCTCAACGACGTGATGAGGCGCTGTGGCAAATGCCAGGACTATTATCATCATCAGTAATATTTTCCTGAGTGTAGACTGTGGATATTTTTTCCTCTCTGTTTTCTCTCTCGCTCTCCCTTTCTCTTTCTTGCTCTTTATTTTCCCCTTCGAAACCCCCCCCCCCCCCCCACCAGCCCCCCACCACCCCTCCCCAATCACCATCCTAAGTAAAGCTCT